GGGACACCCCAGCCACCCGGGCCACCCGTGGCCGTGTCACCGTCCCCGTCCCTGTCCCCACTCGCCTGCCTGGCTGCCGCCGGCGCCCTGCTCGTGGAAGAAGTCGTCGAGGAGCTCGTCGTCGGAGCGCGCGATGATGTGCACGTCGTCGTTGCCCACGAGCAGCCGGGCCCGGCCCCGGCTCTGCAGCGGGAGGCTGCTGCTCAGCTGCAGGATATCGGCGGCCGCCGAGGGGCCCAGCAGCCTGCGGGACACGGTGGGGACACGGTGGGGACATGGTGGGGACACGTGGGGACGGTGCCGGGGGCTCCTCGGGAGGACGGAGTAGGGCAGTGAGGGATGTTAAGGGGTACGGAGGAGACAAGTGAGGGATAAAGGTGACGTGAGGGACAGCGGGGACTCCCTCGGGGGACACGAGGGACAATGGGGACTCCCTCGGGGGACGTGAGGGACCATGAGGAGCCCCAGGGCCTCCCCATGGGGACAAAGGCACCATCAAGGACCCTAAAGAGCCCCAGATACTCTCCACAGAGACAAGGGGCTCCAAGGGACTCCCCATGGGGACAAAGGGACCATCAAGGACCCTGAGGAGCCCCAAAGACCCCCCCCCGAGGACAAGGGGCTCCAAGGCACTCCCCATGGGGACGAGAGGAACACTGGGGACCCTAAGGAGCCCCAGGGACTCCCCATGGAGATAACGGGACCATCAAGGAGCCCCAGGGACTCCCTACGGGGTGAGGGCAACGTTGGGGACCCCAAGGAGCCCCAGGGACTCCCCATGGGGACAAGGGGACCATCAGGGACCCCGAGGAGCCCCAGGGACTCCCCATGGGGACAAAGGGACCATCAAGGACCCCGAGGAGCCCCAGGGACTCCCCACGGGGACAAATGCACCATGAGGGACCCTGAAGAGCCCCAGGGACTCCCTACGGGGTGAGGGCAACGTTGGGGACCCCAAGGAGCCCCAGGGACTCCCCATGGGGACAAGGGGACCATCAGGGACCCTGAGGAGCCCCAGGGACTCCCCACGGGGACAAATGCACCATGAGGGACCCTGAAGAGCCCCAGGGTCTCCCCCCGGGGCCGAGGGCACCGCGGGGGCACCCGGGGACCCCCCCATCGGTCGGGGGGGGCTCTCACCGCTGCAGGATGAGCGGCGGGTTGGGCTGCCGCGCGCCGGGGTAGTGCACGTGGATGGTGTGGCCGGCGTTGGCCNGTGGCTCGCCGGGATGTTGCCGGGCGACGGCGGGATGTCGCCTGGCGAGGGGACACGCGGGGCGTCAGGGGACAGCGGCGGCGGCGCCGCTGCCGCGTCCTCGCCCCCGGCGCCGTACTGGGGCTGGAGAACATGTTGTCGAACTCGATGATGAGGTCGTCGTCGCGGTCGAAGCGCTCGAAGCGCACGAGGGGCGACGCGTTCATGTCCGGGTAGTCCTCGTCCAGCTCCATCTCGGAGCCGTCGTCGTCGTCCTCCTCCTCCTCGCCTTCCTCGCCCTCCTCGTCGTCCTGCGGCGGCGGCGCACGGGGCTCGGGCTCGCGGGTCCCGGCGCGGGGACGACGGCGCCGCGTCCCCGCGGCCGCCGGCCTCACCTGGTCGTCCTCGTCCTCCTCCTCCTCTTCCTCCTCCTCGTCCTGGCTGTCGTCCTCGTCCTCGTTGCTGCCGCTGCTGTCTTCCTCCTGCGTGTGCTCCTCCTCATCCTCGGGGTCCAGGATATTCATGGAATCTGCACCAGGGGCAGCGACAGGTRGCACCGGGTGGTGGTGGGGACACACGGGTCCCTTGTCCCCAGCGCTGTCCCCGCTCACCTTCGCGGTTGGCCTGCAGCGTGGACGCCTGGCTCAGGTTGGAGGGCGCCTCGTCCATGAGCACGTCCTCCTGCGACTCGTCCTCGCCCGAGCGGCTCACTGCGGGGCGGGCACAGCGGGTGACGGGGGGTGCCCAGCGAGCGGAGGGGCCCCGGCGTCCGGGCGGGGATTCTCACCGATGATGGCGCTGTTCCCGGTGGCCCCGTCGCGCTCCAGCAGCTCGTCAATGAGATCTTCCAGCTCGTTCTCCACCTGTGACGGAGGGGACACAAAGGGGTGCTGCTGTGGGGCGGGGGACACCAATGSGGGGGTGACAGGGGGACGGGCAGGGTCCCACCTGCATCTCCTGGGTGCTGAGGCCCTCCGGCTGCCCGGCCAGCACCACCGCGTCGGCCTCCGCCTCGCCGTCCATGTCGGCCGCCTCCGCCTGCGCCGCCTCCGCGTCCTCCTCGGGAGGCTCCGGGTCGCCGGGGTCCCCTGGGGCCGGGGAGCAGGGGACGAAATCGCGGCGGGGACGCGGGGACGGGCAAGGGCGGGAAAAGGGGGGGGCGCGGCGCCGGTACCTCCGTCGGGGGGGGCGGCGCCGGCCTCGCGGGGGCCCCCGGCGCCCTCGCCCTTGCTCTTGCCGGCCGAGCCCTTGGTGCCGAAGAGGCCGCTGGGCTGGTTGACGATGCGCGAGAGCGTCTCGAGCGGCTTCAGCGCCGCGTTCACCGTGTTGGCCATGTTGGGGCTGCACCGCGAGGACGG